TGACGACGTTTTCGCCAATTCGGAAAACATTTCCGGTTAGAAGGTTAGTATTATAGTGGGGATTTCTCTACCTGGTAGTATTAGACAGATGTAGAAACGACCCGGAAAATTTCTTTAACCACTTAACTGAGTTTGACTAGTATACACGTCATCTTAAAATTCTAAATGGTGCTATCTTTCTCAATGATGGATTATTTATTTTGTTAGATAAACATGTACCTATTCGTTTCGCTTTAGTTTATCGTTAGAATATAAGTGCATTCGTGTATATTTGATGAGTACACACTTCATTATTTGATTTTATTGTGCGCACAATAAGAGATTCTTGAATGCAAACATCCTGGGAATGCGAAGGCTCGGCTACTGTATTTCCTGGAAGGACCGAGGTGGAGAATGCAACTGAGTCCCCTTGCTCCTGTGTACTTTTAGCTTGCGGTCGCCGCTGTAGAAGTGGGAGCTGCACTGTACCGCTATCAGCGTTACAATTAAAATTAATTCTTGATCCTTAACGAATCAAGAGTATTTGAAGGTTACTTACCGTAACATCCAAGTTAGATAAAATAAAATGATTTTGCCGCCGTATATGCGACATTGGACCCAGTAAGTAAAAGTGCAATGCCGCGTATATTGCAGTAAAAGTGTGAATTGCAGTTTGTACTGTTTGAGTAGATACGAGTTCAGCAGTGTAAAAACTGATGAAGTTAATTATCCCTTACAGATCTATTTCAATTTTATTCCAAGAGCTATGCGTAGTTTTACTCCTTCTTTCGAACTATAAAAATAAAATCAACTCTATTCCGTTGCACATAGATCTAGGTGAAAAATTATTGTGCTATTATCAATGTTTTATCTTCAAAGTACAGTTGGGATATGACTTGATGTCTAACGAGGTGGTGCGGGAATAAGAGGCGTCTTTCTAGTTTGCAGCTTTATAGCTTTGATTGGTTATGTGTAATCGTATCGAGGAATAGAAAATGAATGATTGAAAATATCAGGAATGAAGAAATAAAGCTAACAGAGAATTGAGTAAGAAAAAATGAAAACTGATCAATTAGTCGAATTCCTCAACCTAGGTTTCAAGTGATTTTCCAGCAATACCTGTGCGACAATATCCTCGAAGAGGTCAAGAGAGTTTTGGACCACTGGATACATCCATGGATATCGATCGAAAAGGGGATGAGCGAGTTGTTAAGTCAACTTAATTGTGACTGGATTGGTGTCATCTATTTGTACGGTGAAACTCGCTGGCAGGATGCAGCTTTCTACGGGCACGGTGGTTGCTCATCTGCATGTAGACAAATCAGCAGGTACACGCGGCAACCCGAGTAAAACACACGTTCCTGACTACACGCGACAGAGAAACCCTGTCTCGAAATTCAATCGAAATCAAAGGGTTGCGGTTTATTGGAGCGCAAGGGGAGACCCCGTCGAACTTCGGAGAATTCCTTGCGGCCGGAAAATGTTTCGCGGCCATGGATCGATCAATCCCGTCGACTTTATCATTCAAGAGTTGCAATTTCGTCTCGTTCCCCCGGGAGGATTCAAGCACTTCTCCTTATCGTTCCCAAAGCCCGCGACGACGCGACACACGAAACTTTCTCCGACGTGTTTCATCGAGCTGCATCGACCCCGCTTCTTCCCATCAATCTATGCGTCTTCGCGAAATCAGAACGTCACGTCGGAAAGGATCGCTTCGTGTTTTCCTCGATCCTGATATCGGTGTTGTATGATTTATGGATTTTGTATGGCGAATTTCTTGTCACGGAAGACGGGAAGTTTTGATAGTTTATAGTCCGAAGGAGAAAAGACTTTCCTTGTTCTAAAAGCTAAAAAGTCAGGGAGGCAAGGAGATACTTCTAGTAACGATGTTCGGGCCGCTCCGTTCGTTCACGCGTGGTCGTTATTCGGGGGTGGCAATAACAAACAACGGAACCGAGATCGAATGCGATGAAATGAGACGTGACGATAGAAAACAAAATTTTCTATAGTTCCGTATCACTACGTTGCATTCGGTTTCGCTTCCGTCCTTTGTTATTGCCGCACGTCAATAATGATCATGCGCCGAAAGTTGAGACAGCCCACGGTGTGGTCAAATGTCCGTTTTTTGGACAAAATTCAATAACTTAAAAAGTATGAGCGATACAAAAAAATGCTTCAGACAAAAATTGTAAGGTATAGAACTAAACATATGATAGTTATATTTTTTTTTACATTATAGAGATATGATAAAGTTTTTTAAAAGACAATGGACTTTTTGCGTTTGGATTCCAATGTTATATAAATAGAGAAACGGAATTTATTTGTACGAAATTATATGAAATCCCATCATGCTTTGGAGAATATTTTCGATTGTTAAAAATCTGTATAAATGTATTGAATAATGAATGTAAGATAAAAATATAAATACACGGTAAACCCGGAATGTCTGTAGGGCACTATTTGAGCGTGCTGAACAGTGGTTATTATTCATTAATTTTTGAACTAAAAACCATTTGGTATAGCAGGGACTACTTAGCAACAGATTGGTAACCATTAATAGTTAAACCAGGGAATAGTTAAATTTTTGGATTTTGACCATAGGCGGCCGCACTGTGCAACCTGATCATTGTGAGTGGAACAATTTTTATCGTGGAACAATTTTTATCGTGGAACTGCACCAGAATTGTGAACATATCGATGTAATATAAAATACCTATAATGAAAAATACCGAATGATTTTAAGATTGGAATGGAGACGTGAAGAATTAATTTATAAGCTTGGGAAACAAAAAAAATTGTCAGAAAATAAATATTCTAGATGAAGGTGTTCCATTTTAATTTATAACAATTGCGATTAGTTTGACGAAATCTGGCGAGGATTTTATAGATAAGTCAGAAAGACTCTTAGGAGAATTCTAAAGGAATTTTAATTAATCTAAATCTAAATTGCTCTTAGGAGAATATTCAAGGGAATTTTAAGTAAATTATTAATAGTTTGATTGAAATCATTCAACATTCTCTTCGCCCGACTGCAACATTTTTGTATTAAAATCCATGTTTTCCTCTGTTTTATGTTGATTTGTTTTGATTTTAAGCTTGCGTCTCATATGAGCTGGTTGTTACCTCACTGCATTTCAGTCCTTGCAGCATTCCTTATTGAGTTGATCATAATTAAACAGGCTTGGTGAACGTTTAATATGCAACTAATTAGAATATACAGAGAATGGTAGGAATGTATTCATTTAGGACCAGTTACACATTTAAACTTATGGCGCGTACTATTGTCCCGCATATTTGTCTAAATGTCTCTGCAAATTTGGTCAAGTCCCGTTTCAATTAACAGTCAGGCTATACTTCGGCGAATTACCGCAATCCCCGTTGTCTCGTTAACAGTTCCAGAATGTTTAGCGTTCTACACGTTAGTCACGTGCGATGAAATTCATCTTAACGCTCGGTGTATCTGTTCGTTGTATTTGCGCCAGGGAATCTCGGAGCTCTTGGACAGACTTAATGCCTCTAATGGTGTCTCCCATGTGCCATTATCAGTTGTGCCACCGTTGACAATTTACCACTTGCCAGCTTCAACTTTATCAGAATTTATTGGCTCTCCTTTCGCCAACACTCGACGGTGCTACGATATTTTATGGACTTCTTTTATGTTCACGCATACTTAGATACTTCCAGAGAGTACTGTTACCCTTGGAGGGGGCTAATAGCGTGCTTCTGAGGGAAACATTAATTGTGATCAATGATTATGGCCGTGCCGCAAGATTTATAGTTATTATTGTACAGGTTGTACGAAAATGTGGTATACTCGTGATTATGTTTTGCATTAAAAGAGTATATAACCTTAGAAACTTAAAGGAAATGAGTGATTCTGATCATTCATTCACCTCTAGGTGATAAAGATTACAGAGAAAATTAAAGAAAGTAATTGAGAAAGAGTAACAATTTTTGTAAATTCATGTTTTCTTATTATCTAAAATTGTAAAATGATAAAATTTGTTTGACTTCGTATCCAGCAGAATCAAATCAGCTTATATCCGATTTTAACGGGGACTTTCCTTTGGGTTTTCAAAGTTGTAGAGCCCCTTAAACTTTAGAGGATCGGCAAAGTCTCTTTTGAGGTTTATATTCTACGAAATATGTACGTTACATACTATATACAGATATATTTGAAAAAATAGAACCACCATTTTTATGAGAAAATGACGGTCTTCAAAGTTAAGTAAGTGTACTATTTATATTGCTAGACTTGGCAGAGTTGTTAAATAAATTTTATAGCATTATTTTTACAAATTTTACTACATTAATTAATAAAAGAAAAATTAAGAACTATAAAATTAATACAAAAATCAATATATGTAATACATGTGATAAGCGCATGGTGTATTTGAAAAATATTATAGGAAAATTTATTGTACATTTTAACAAATTGTGGTGTGTAGTGTTATTCTTATTAATCGAATCGCGTATTATAGAACACCCTGTACATTGCAATTCCGCTTGGTAAAAAATCGAGAAACCGTTTCAATAAAGTACAGAAATGAATACGAAGAAACAAAATGCTTGCGACGCATCAGGAAGGAACTCGGATCCAAAGTTTTTATTAAACCACGGGTTAATAAAAGTTCCCGATGGATTCTCGATCAAACTGGCAGTCAGAGGAAATAAAATCATCGTGAGTGAGAAATGGATCCGTGTCCCGCATCGAGAATTTCGAAGTAACTTCATTAAATCAGAGAACTGAAATTTCAGTGATAGCCGGATGCATGCCTCGGGATATCGTAGAACGAAGTCTCAAGAACTATGATCATCATCAATTATCCTCGGAAGAGTTGACGCCCGCACAAGTTTTCTCAGTCAGTTAGAACTGTCTCGCGATGTAATCCTGTTCGCACTTGTTTCCGCATCATGAACACCGTACGTTTCACTGGATTCAATTCGATTACGAACCATAGTGGAAAATAAACTTGTTTCAACTCTTTCCTTTTTATTCGTTTAAAATGAAAGATACTTACAGCGTCCTTATGGTTCCAGAAAATATAGTCTGGTGGTTCCGGAGTCTGCCAGACTATGCATGTGAGATTTATAGTGCTTCCTCGATTAATGTACAGATCTGGTGCACCCAGGATCTCCGCTTTTGGTTCTGTAACAAGAAAATTGTAACCATTTTATTAATTACAATTTCCATTGATTCTTTCATCGGTATGTCAATAAATATTCTTGCGAATAGACTACTCGTTTTAAAAACCGAGAATTGTGTAGTTTGCGCCAAACATGGGCATTGTCTAGAAAAAATATTTAAAAAATGATTATTTGAATAATAAATTATTTTGAAACAACGATTGAATGGTTGAACCTTTGGATAATGCTCCAAGTTTACATGTATAGGAAACATGATAATATTGGGGTTATTAATCTATATTTATTTATACGATTTGCTTGTAACTCTTGTATAATGAAACACATGAAACTTTTATATACTGTCTGGGAAAAACTATTGATGATCTTGCAATGAATATATTATCAAAAATATATGCATTGTTATTTTAAATTTAATTAAAATAATCTGAAGAATATTTCATCAAATCCAAAGAGAAACAAGAGCGAATCGAGACCTGATTAAGTGGCTCAAGCCTTATCGTCCCTTTCCGTGATAATAGTCTCCATCGTTGAACAATCGGCCGTCAGTGACGAGTAAGTAGGGGAGAGTAAGGTAAAACGGTACACCAATGTTTTTCTTAGATAAATAGCTCATATCGAGCTTATGGTGCATGACATAGACCTAATAAGTCCTTGACATAGTTCGCGTTTGACCGCACATCTGTGCACAAGTATCATCTACGAAACACATTCGTATTCCATTTTACCCTACTCACCCTTACTTACTGCAAGGAGATCACTTGATGACTAGGTTGAGAAATGTGGGACTGATTGGTCAATTCTCATCTTTCTTACGATGTTAACTTGCTATTCGTATACGGTTACGCGTAACCAATAAAAACTATAAAATCAAAACTCACAGCGAAAGACTCCTCTTGCACCCTTTACACCTACTAGCTGCAATTGTGGTGGTTATTAGAATTTCTATTTGGTATAAATAAAAATTGCTATCCCAACCACAGTTGCAAATAATAGCCTATGATTCTTGTTCTGTATTAAAGAATAGATCCTTCTTTTTGCATCAATACCAAAAACAACTCTATATAACTTTAGTATTAACCTTACTTTATATCCTTTAGTATAACAGGGGCTACTTAGCAGCACCTGCGATTTTCGTTATATGAATAATTGAATTTTGAGGGTTTGTTGACAAGCGGCCGCAGTGTGCACCGTCCGCTAGACACCAAGTCATCTACCTACACTGCTTACGCCGAAAACTGTCGCGATCCGGTCGGAGTGGCTGGTATTTATAGTCGATTCGGTTCGCCGATCCGTTTTGTGTCCTTCCGCGTAGTCGAGGAGTGACGCGGTTGACTCGGCCCTTGTGAGCGCGGCCCGGCCGAAAGAGCACTTTGAGGCTGCTAGGCTCGTACAGAGTACACCCGCTGTATCGTATGTGTTATCAAAGAGAAAAAGAGATACGGAAAGGGTGTAAGCATGCGACCAGTGGCATCGGGGGGACCAGGAGGGAAAGAGTGAACGGACCGAGAGCCGACGAAAAAAAAGGTGACGGAAAAGAGGTACGGCGGAGAGAGAGAAAGAGTTTTGGTCAGGGTGAACGAATCGTCGTATACACTTGTGTGAAAGGTGCTGCGCGTGTACGTGTGGCGGGTAGGAAGCGGGAGAGAGGTCACTCGGTGCAGATCGATGTGAATATTTTCCGGACGGCCTCCTCTCCGAGGATTGACCGAAATAACCGGGCACCGTACTTTACGGCTTTGTACGGCGGATGATACCAGAAACGACAGTTACGCG